TAGCCGAGGATCAGACCGCCAGGGTCCCCTCCTTCGGCCACCGCCCATTTCACATTGCGCCCATTTCACATTGTAACCTTTGGCCCCTCCTACGGGTGGTGAGTCCATTGGAAGGGGGACCCACGTCTCCTCTTCGGGCTGAGCCCGGCCGGGCTCCGTGGGTGAAAGCCCGGCCACCAGGCGCTCGCCATCGTGCCCCACCTCCAGGCCTGGCTCCAGAGGGGGGCCCCGGTGACCCGCGTCCGGGCGAGGGAACGCCAGATCCAGTGTTTGTGTTCATCATAAGGGGTCTTCTTGGTGTGCAATGAATCTATAATATATGAAAGTTTAATGTTTATCAGTACATTACAGAAAATAATGAGCTTTATCACAGTATGCTAATTTTTTGAGAAGGACCTGCATACTAAAAAAGGGCAAATCTTATTTCATTTAATTTGCAACACAACAGTAATGGACTGCACCACATTCAAAGAAAAAGTACGGAAGGTTGTACCGGACCATCCAGCAGTATGGCGTTGAAGACTGGAGGGCAGGACGACACAGAAGTTAGCTAACAACAAGTTAGCTTGTTTTTAATTAGTATCTTGTTAAAATTGTTTAGTTAAACTCGTGTGTGAAAAAAGTTGCTTCAAACAAAGCAGCAGTAGTTGACGTAAAATGGGACTGAGCAGGCCAGCCCAAATAGAACCATGGGTCTCGTAGTTCCAGAAATTGGAGTAGGACTGGGCCATAAGGGCTAACGCAAACACACTGAATCTGGGTTTCAGCTCGGGCCTGGCCTTGCAGTGCTAAAATGCCAATTGTCCCGCTAACATGTTCTGGGTCTTCCAAGGGGTCTCCTCCCTGTTGGTTGTGCCAGTAACACTTCCTTAAGGAGGCATCCAGGAGTCATCTTTACTAAACTTGGGTGGTATGAAGGTATTTTGTTATACCGCAGTATCAAAATATGACGGCGGTATATAAAAAATTATGACACTGTCACGTGAGGTGAAGCACCAAATTTCCACAAGGTTGCAATGAAAGCTGGAACAAACATTTCAGACGATGCCACGTGTTACTGACAGACAGCTGAAATTAGTGCAACCTTTATCAGCACAAACACTTTTCTTGCAAAAAGCATGCAGCAACTTTCAAACAACCATGGTAAGAGTCAGATTATTTTGAAACTTAAAAGTCTAAAAAGATATAGTTTGACTTATAAACTCAGACTCCTGCTGCTGCTGCTCTGAGTGACAGCAATGTCAGATCTTTTATTCTACACTGCAGACCACTGGCTTATGTAGGCCTAAGTAGGTGGTCACAAGCAGCCATTTTCCCATTTATTATTAATAATTACAAAAACACGCCACAATCAGAACCAGGATCAGGCACCCCTGTCCTAGACTTTGTGGCTATTGGTGAAGGTAGGAACTTAGACCAGGCAAACAGAGAGCGAGCACATGTACACTGCTGGCTTCTTCTGAGTTTCCAAACAGCATTCTCACACTGTGTTTATCGAACTGCTACAATGAAAAGATTTGCAGYGAGACATGAAAGCTTTTGCACCATTTAGTGAGAAAAAAAAATTTGCATTTCAGTGGCTTCGAACCTTGTCAAAGTCAAGGACGGCTGGATGAATAAACAGTATCGTATTGCCGGCACCGCCTTCATGTTCCCTCCTCAGATGTTTCACTAAGCAGCACCTGCACAAACACCGCTACTGTCTTCGTCTGTGTTTCTAATTAAAAATTAGACGTTCAAGCTTTCAAAATATACTATATAATCTGTTAGAGGGGGATAAAAAATAATAAGTGAATGGCTCAGCACTCCACCCTGGATGATATTCAGCAGACTAACGCAGACGAAAGACCAGGGCTGAAAACGTAAAGGGCAGCAGGGGCATAAAAAGTGTCTGGCAGTGAAAGATAAAAGCCATCATTAGGGAGTAAAATGAGAGAGTGGACCTGGCATTCAGTGTATATTGTCAGTTAGCTRAACTACGCTTCAAAGGACAGCTTGTTTAGAGGAAAATAATGTCCACTTGGTGCTTTATGCTCCAGTCCAGACCGTTCAGCTTTTTTTCCTGCTCGTAGGGTTCAGACRACCGGCCACTTCACACCTGCATTTTCTACACAAACTCAACAAAWGATCCGTTTAGTTGTCGGGATGTTTGCTATCCTTCTGATGAGACCTGTCGATGAAGGGCAACAATGGTTTTTGCCCACATTTGCTTGCTTATGTGTTAGCAAAATAAGTCATGTACCAGAAGACGGATATAAAATTKTGATGTTTTATGCTGTGACTAAACCATTATTTGTACTTTAAACTAAATAAGCAATGCCAACCCCAGCATCTACACCTAACAAACAAGAACAAACAAATAAAACTCTACTTTTAATTTAGGACATGACAGAGCTTTACCTGCTRAAGTTGGCCTGATTTTTTCCATCAACATCTTGTACCTTATATTCTTAGTCGAGCCAGAAAGATAACAGGTCCAGGACAGAAACCCAAACCTCCTTCTCCCCAGGAACACTCTCAAGCTCCTAACGAAGGAACTCAAGATGCTCCCAGACCAGAGAGGATATACAGTAGAATACCTCGAACAAATAATTTAAAAAAATTTTCCCAGCAGAGGCATACCCAGAAAACCAGCCAAGGGAGGCATCCAGGTGGTATCCTGATCTGAAGATCCACCTTATTTGGCTCTTTTAGATGCAGAGGAACAGCAGCTCTACTCTGAGGTCCTCACCYTATCTTTAAGCTGAATCCAGTCACTCTACAAAGTTAGCTCATTTTTAGCTTCTTGTATCAAGGATCTCGTTCTTTTGGTCATGATCCAAACCTCATGAATGCTAGAGTTAGGCAATACTGGACAATAAACTAATCGTGATTAATTTTGGCATAGATAACAATAAAAATGAAGATTGATCCCCTGGATGAGACGGCATCTCCTGGTTCCATGACTCATTTAAACATTCCAGTGGGAAAGCTACACCATTCCAACAATCTGTTTCAATTTGTGTCAGGAAAACAGACTTCAAGCTATACAGTAGTTTTGAAATTGTGTTTATCGGTCAAGTAAAACCAGAGTTATAACAAATAATTTATGGCACTTTTTAAATAATGTCATATTTGAAGCGTTGCAGATGAAAAGATGAGCAGTTTTACGGAAAAAAACATCTCATCCCACTCACTGGTCAGACCCCCCTCCCCACCCCCACCCACTGAACAGACA